TAAATAAAAATTAAATAATTAAAAATAGTAGTAGTAAACAAGAATGAAATTTCAAAGTTGAGGGAAGGTGAGAAATGGAGAATGAGTGATGGGTTCATTTTTTATTCTTCGGTAAAATGCCTGTGGTAAAATTTTAAAAAAAATATTTATTTTCTTGAGTAATTTTGAGTTTGACTATTAATTGAGTTTTCCTATTTACATTTTTTTTAAATTAAAAAAAAAAAGTACTTTGCTGGCTTTTGCCTAGAATTGGTTGGCGAATAATCCAAATAAGTCCTTTGCTGGCTATTACTTAAGTAAAGATGCCTTAGAGCATCATGCGAAGTAATACATCTCGAAATATATAATAAAGTAAATACTTTAAAAAATCTAATTAGAGTTAAAACAGAATCGTACCTATTAATAAAACGTTAAAAGACCAAATATACTCATGTACTATGAAAAAAATTTAAATATACTCTTCGTTATATTTTGGATTCAAATATACCGCTGCCATAATATTATTGATTTAAATATACTTCTCTTATGTTAAGTTTGTCCAAGGTGGACATCCAGTCTAGGTGACACTGGTATTTGATGAGGTGGATGTAACATGGTATGCCACCTCAGTGCCCCTAATTAATATATAAAAGACAAAAATTTGTATACAATATTTTGATGGTAATGATGGCAATAGTGGTGGAATGGAAGAAAAATTTAGTGGAGGAAAAAAAATAAAAGGGAGGGATAAAATAGGTTATGAGTACTGAGGTGGCAAGTTATGTGGCATCCAGCTCATCAAATGTTAGTGTCACGTAAGATTGGATGTCCATTTTGGACAAACTTAATGGTAAAGGGGTATATTTGAACCAATAATATAACGACAGGGATATATTTGGACCCAAAGTATAATGAGAGATACATTTAAACCTTTTCTGATAGTACAGGGATATATTTGGCCCTTTTCTGTAAATAAAAATATCTTCTTTTTTAAGTAGAACTTGCTCTAAAATCTTTTAATCGTTTTGTTACGATCCTATGGAAGTATTTTCAAAAACATTGGGAGAATATTTTATTATTAGGGGAGACGTTTATTTATTTATCTCCAAATTTCAAAGAGAAGCAAAACAAGGATCACTCCAAAGATTTTTAAAGCAATAAATTTGTCTCTTAAAAGCAACAACTATAATTAATCAATTAGCTTAACCTTGCATTAAGGCCACGTGGCCAATCTTAGAAGTGAAAATTTTTATATGTACACCACACAAACAAATTGGTTAGGGTAAAAGTTAAATATATAGAAATAAACGTAGAGGAAAAGGAAAATTAAAGGAATATAAACATAAAGTTAACTCACCGGAAAAGAAATTAAAATATAACACAAAAAATAATTTGAAGTATTTTGATTCTTTTGTCAATGATTTTTATTTTTATTTTATTTAAGCCATTAACCTCCGACACTGTGTCTTTGGTTATGAGAGATTTGGCTGGACCCCTACCATGTCAAAATATATATATATACAAAGCCAGAGGGAGACATGAACCTTACATCCAAGGCTCCAACTCAAAAGATTGACTAGTTCAATCTTAAAAAAGGAAGAGATAGGGGTGTTCAAAACGAACCGGAAAACCGCACCAAACCGAAAAACCAAATCAAACTGATTAAAAAATCTGATTAAGTTTGGTTTGACTTGGTTTGGTATTGAGTAAAATAACCCGAACCAAACCGACATGTAAATATATAAATTTTATTTATATTTTTAAGACTTTATAATGAATTTTCTTTAGAAAATGTAGAAATATTTGGGATTCTCTCATGTATTAACCTTGAAAACGAAAATTAACAAAAAATTATTGTTAGACGACTAAGAAAATAACTATCATGTGTTACAAAAAAAATTCTCCCATTAGAATATTTTAATAGATCATATGTTTGTAAATTTTTTCCATATTTACTAAACATACTTATCAAAACTTTATTTATAATTTTAACAAAGTAAAGTTGAAATAATATTCATGTAACAAAAAAACTCGAAAACCCGACAAAACCGATATAGTTGATTTGGTTTGGTTTTGATAAAAAACCGAACCAACCCGGTCCATGTACACCCCTAGGAAGAGATACATCCTTGTCATATCTTCTTTTAATATTAGGAAGTTGCCATCTATCTAGTTGAAATGGTCTTTTCGCCTCTTTACAACAAGAACAAGAACAACAACAACAATGGGGTCTGGGGAGGGTAGTGTGTACGCAGACCTTACCCCTACCCTGGGGTAAAGAGGTTGTTTCCAAATAGAAACCTGGCATCCTTCCCTCCAAGAACTTCTCACCTTGCTTTTGGGGAGACTCGAACTCACAACCTCTTGATTAGAAGTGGAGGTTGCTTACCATCAGAGCAACCCCTCTTATCGCCTCTTTACGTAATTGGTTAAAAGAGGTACGAGAAAATACTATTTCCACTTGACGATGCTAACTTAGCTAAGTAGTCAGCCACTTGATTGGCTTTCCTGAAACAACGAAGAATTTGTACATCCACCATTTCAATCATTTGAGCAATGTCTTTAATCATCTTTCTCAGCTTTAAATTGTTGGTGTCTCCATTTCTAATCATGTTGGTGAAGATTAGAGAATCCATGTCCAAGTCATATCGGTTGAACCCATTCTGATTGCACCATCTCAAGCTTCGTTGTTAGAGCAACATTGAGTTTTGACGGAGTAAGTTATGATTAACTCTCCTGTACTATTTTTTTTAACTGTGTCATCAATTCCTGCTTTACTATTCTCAATCAAGAAACTACCATCTATATTGATTTTGACTCTATTGTCAATGATTGTAAGACATTAATAAAGGGTTTTCAATTAGTTCCTGTATTTTTAGTTAGAAAATCGGCGAATCAAGTTACTCACGTTTTAGCTACGGCTTGTTCGATGGAATGGGGTCGGTCCCACCCAAGGGCGGACCCAAGTGGTGAGAAGTGGGTTCAATTGAACCGCTTCGTTAAAAAATAATACTGTGTATATGTATAAATTATGGCTAAAGCAAGATAAATTTTGTATAAAAATTATTTTTGAACTCACTTATACGGCTTATACCGCTTATGTTAGTTATGGACTTCTTCGACTGAACCCGCTGGCACAAAATCCTGGGTCCGCCACTGGTCCCACCATCTTTTATTTCTGATGTACTCGCACGGAGTTTAAGAAAAAAAGGCTTTTAAAACTTATTACTTTAAAAGTTTAAGGGGTAAAAGTTTTGTGGGGCCATAATATTTGTATAGTTATAAAAGTTTCTCATTAATAGTAAAATGAGTAAAATAAAGAGTTTAAAGTTAAATTATTTCCAAATTTAGAAATGTGTCATTTATTTTGGAACGGATAAAAAAGGAAAGCACCTCATCACGACGGAGTAATTGAGAAGACACCTTTTCCAAAATAACAAAAAAAAAACATAGTTAACAATAGATCAAGAAAAAAGATTTACGCCTTTGTGGCCAGTGGTGGAGTCATATTAGCCGAGGGTGGTCAATTGATTTATTTTTTTTGTCAGAAAATTATATTATATATAAGTGATTTTTTTTCCTTTTTATGGTATATGTCGAATAAACGATGTTCATAAAATGTTTTAGGTCATAAATTTGACCGTTAGCTATGACATTTTAATTTTTTTTTTTTTTTTTTTTTTTTTTTTTTTTTTTTTTTTTTTGAATTCCCTAGTTTCAAATCCTGCTGCATCCGCTCCTATTTGTAGCACAAGTTGATTAGGTTCTAGAGAAAAGAAAAAAGATATTGTTGAGAGTAAAATTATACATCTAATTTTTAATACCAAATCCAGAAACTTTAAAACATGTCTATCTATGGGATGAGGTGCCTAATATAATCTCTCATTTAAGGCAATCACATGTTATATGTAATAAAATTGTTAGTAAGATGTTTAGCCTACTCAATTTTTTGGCCATAAATGCCCATCCAATCACATGAATATCATATAGTTGATAGGAACAAAAGCTAAAAAAAGACAACAATGGCTTTTCAATTGAATAGTGGTAATTAGATTCATGAGATGAATATATAAACATATTGTTTTATAGAGGAAGATCTTATTTAGTTATATATTTGTAAATTTTTGGCGCGGCGATGTTGGATGACACCTCTTGTAGAAGGGTGCTTTCGCCACGGGACATTCCCACCACCCGATAGAGGCAGAGCTACAATATTTGGCGCAACGATGTTGGATGACACCTACAACCTCTTGTAGAAGGGTGATTCTGCTTCCGCCACAGGACATTCCCACCACCCAATGGGGGCGGAGCCACAATTTGCGGCGCAACGATGTTGGATGACACCTACAATCTCTTGTAGAAGGGTGCTTCTGTCACGGGACATGCCCACAGAGGGGCGGAGCCACAATTTTTTGCGCAACAATGTTGGATGACACCTCTTGTAAAAGGGTTCTTCTACCATGGGATATTCTCACCACCAAATAGGGCGGAGCTATAATTTTTGGCGCAACAATGGCTTTTACTGTTTAGATAGGTAAAAGTTATCTTTTTAAATATATATATTATGTATTGAATTTCCATGACTTGTTTGTATATTTACTTCTTAAAATTTTGACACTCTTTAATGAAAATTCTAACTTCGTTGCTGCATAAAAGAAGCTTTTTCTATAGTAGTAGTAAAAGTGGCTAAAAATTGCTTAAACATACCTACCAGGTACTTCTATGTTAAAAAAAGAATCAACAGTGAGTTTCAAGAGATTCCAAAAAAGAAAGCAAATTAAATTCAAGACTGAGGAAATAGAATAAATTAATTAGAAATATCTGCAAGATTCCTAAGTCAAGCAATTAAAAAGAAGATAGACAAAGGAAAAATCAAGAAATAGTTGATGTAATCTAGACATCAGAGCAAAATCTCTGGGATATAGTTCTTTATTAGTTTAGATTTTTAAAGCTCAACAACCAATTGAACAGGTAGGTAGAGTTGGCAAGTCCTAAGGATCTAAATTAATAAAAGCAAAATGTAAAGAAAAAAAATGTACCATCTACCATTCAAATTTTCTCATCTGCACTTCTCAATGTTTTTGAAAATACAATAGTGTAACGCTCATCTAACATATATAAATTCAATAGTATAATAATCAAATTTACTAATATCAGCATTCAACATAGTGTAACGCTCATATCTATTTTCATCTCTTCTTTTCCTTGAGCCAATAAGCGGATCTTCAGGGAATTAACTATTGTTCATGTTCATATTTTCCTGAAATTGTTTCAGTTGGTAAGTGAAGGGGAGCTTTGGAGCAACGTAAAGTTGTTTTCGTTAGATCTATAGGTCATGGATTCAATCCGTGGAAGCAAGCCATTAATACTTGTATTAGGATAGGCTGTCTACATACACCTTTTGAGATGCGGCTCTTTCTCGAACCCTACGTGAATGCAGATATCTTGTGCACCGAGCTGCCTTTTTTTGTTTCAGTTGGTAAATATTGTGAGAATAGCAACAGGTAAAGTGAGAGCTAAACGAATTTATCAAAATCTGGAGATTTTGGGTTCAGAATTTTTGCTGCCTAAGTTACTAATCATGTAGAATTTCAGAGGCTTGTAAATTAAGTTACTATTCATGCAAATAGTAGCATGCCAAATCTCACTCTATTCAAGAATGAGCATTATATATATGCAGTTATACCTTGATTCATTTTCTTTTTTTGATGACTGAGAAAACTCCAAGGGCCAGTGTTGCACAACTCAAAGCTTGGTGGATCGCGTCCCTACCCTTCCCCACTTAGATACCAGGCTTTTCTTTGCGGCAGCGTTCGAACCCATGACGTGCGCATACTGTATACCTTGACCCATTGCCTGTACGTCCATTTATAGTTTCAGTGCATTAAAAGAAAATCAAGATATAGCATTCATGCAATCACTAAATGGACAAAGCTACATATATATAAATGTAAAAAATGAACAGAATCAGCTAAATTATACTAAAGAAATCACATCAAATGAAATGGTGCATCATTAGCAGTTTGCATGGAACTTCTGGTTGCAACCAAGACTGGTAAATAACAATGCCTTCATTGCAAATTCGATAACCTAGAGAAAGATATTCAAATTAAAAGAAAAGTGGATGGAGAAAGGGGGTTATATATAGAGATCTTGATCAAACGAAATAGTAGTCACCTTAAATCAGCTCATTGACATGGCTGTTGCAATGTGTTGCAATGTTTTGTGAGAATAACTAGCAAACCAACAGATATAGCGTCTGAATGTAAAAACATGTATAATTACAAACAGACATGTTCATCTTGGATTATAAAAAGCCAGTTTTGAAAGCGGAAAAGAGGGATATATTAAATACAGTCAAACCTCTCTATAACAGCCTCAACCTCTCTATAACAACCTCGTTTGTTGCGACATTCTTTGGCTACTATAGTAAGTGTTGTTATAGAGAAAAAAAACTTAGATGTTATAGTAAATTGCTCTTATAGAGGACCATTCAGTCGATTCTTAAAGCATTTTGGTTACCCTGCTCAAGAAACACTGCATAATTTCTCACGTCGGTTAGATACTTTGTGTTCTTAGTGAATGCTCAGAATCTTACATAGCTTGTATATGATGCAATCAGACCCTTGTGGTTCGGCCCTTCCCAGGACCCCGCACATAGCGGGAGCTGAGTGCTCTGGGCTGCCCTACTGTGTTCTCAGGGCATATTCATAGAACTCTTCTTGCAACTAGTTTAATGGTAGGAGCAAGTTCTCTTTGGCATGAAGTTTTCACGTTTATACCAACAAAGCGCTAAGCTGAAATTTAATAAAACTTAAAACAAACGACAAAGAAAACATAAAGCTAAGCTCAAATCCACTAGAAATATAGTCGGGAAAACTATACAGTTGCTTCTCAGGTATGTCCCCTTTTCTTTTCTTTTTGTATTTTCCCAACGAGGACATAATTTTCACTGCTGTTAAAGTCGACGCGCTGTACAAATGAATTTCCCTTATCCAAAAATTGTTGCATAACTAGACAGACAGGACTCCATATGGGGTTTATGTTATTGTTTACAACTTTTGTCTTGCAAATTGGAACAGAACCTCCAGTTTCAACAATCCTAGATATTCTCAAGAAATGATCACTTTTTTGAAAATAAATCCTTGTTTTCCAGGTTGGTACATCACAATGTCATCTCTAGAGAAGGGGCCTAGACATGGAATCGGAAGCGGATAAATGGAGGTTGCAGCAGACTTAGTGTACAAAAACAACAATTACGCCTCAATCCCAAACAAGTTGGGTTGGCTGTATGAATCCTCACTTCTTTCTTTATTAAGTTCAACTCATATCATCGTCAAAATACTTAAGACGTGATCTGTATATATGAAATTTAATGTGTAACGGCTACTAGTACTGTTGCTTTCGTAGAGGAGCTTACAAATTCTCCCAACATCTGTAACTGAGCCTTAAGTTTCATCAAACTGAGTACTAGTATCTGATACAGAGCAGACTTAGGATCCACATCACATACTCATAAGCGTTCCATACCCGGTGATGGAGCTAGAAATTTATATAAGGGATTCAATAAAATACTACAATGTTTCAACCCCTTTACCACTACACTATAAATTTACCTCATGTCGAAGAGATTCAACAGCTTATATATTACAAGAGGAATTCTATATTTACCCATTTTGCATATTTTAAGCCCCTCCCCCATTTGACATGATAACAACAACAACAACCCAGTATAATTCCACAAGTAGGGTCTGGGGAGGGTAGGATGTACGCAACCTTACCCCTCCCCATTTGACATGGCAGATACTAAAATTGCACTGTATATATAATGACTTCCTCTTGCCCATTTCTAAGTAATTAGCCTAAATTTATGTAAGCAAGAACAATTATAAACAGAAGTCCTCCTTTACTTTAATTTCCAACACCATATAAAACACTTTATTCTGTTTAAATAAGAGTAGTAAATAATATGCTCACAACAGTGTCTTACCCAATTTCTTGACATCTATGTTGACAAATCATCTAAAAGAAAAAAAGACCTTTGCAAATTGACCCATACATCTAAGTCCACAATTGCACCCCAAAAGAGAAATTCACACCAAAGCTTAATCGACAATTATATGATAAAGCAAGAAGCTTTTTGTGATTGTAGTGTTTTGATGCATCATTAAACCCCAAGAGACCAGCTCATAGATTAACTATGTAGCAAAATATGTTGCACTGCTATATGTTGAGTTAATGAGACAACTTATGCTAATGAATTGAGAAGATGAAAAGGCCACTATAGCATCACATATGGAAGATAACAAGTCATCAAAGATCAATATCTGAGCAGAAAAAATATTTCTGCATTGAGTATCTTAGCTACAACTCATATCTTTGACTAGATAGCATTTCAGCTTCACATTCACATAGTGACATAACACAAACACAAGGGTGGGCCGCAATAAGGGCCCGATGTCATTGTGTAATAAGACATGGCTTGATGGTATGTTAACGATGGTTCACTATAGAAACAAGAGGTTAGAAGTTCAGGGACATGAGAACAACAACAACAACCCAGTATAATCCCACTTAGTGGGTCTGGGGAGGATAGTGTGTATGCAGACCTTACCCCTACCCAGGGGTAAAGAGCCTGTTTTCAAATAGACCCCCGGCATCCTTCCCTCCAAGAACTCCCCACCTTGCTCTTGGGGACTCGAACTCACAACCTCTTGGTTTGAAGTGGAGGTTGCTTACCATCAGAGCAACCCCTCTTGTCTCAGGGACATGAGAATGAAACAAAAAACAAGGAGACTCAACCGTCTCTCAAAAAGAGATGCAGCTATGTTTGAAAGGACAATTATCTCGATTGCAAACGTATCTGAGCGGATTAAACATATGGAAGAATAACCAATATTATATTCATTGTTTATAAGCACAAAGAATATGTGGTCATGTAAGAGTGTATTACCTTAGGGATTCCGACAATTCGTTTGGAACTCCAGAGAGTGTGGAAACACCGCTTTATCCTCCTCCAACTTAAATACACTCTGTCACCTTGATTTTTCCGTCTCTCTGTATATTGTGAGTGCTGTAATTCCAATTCTATTTCATCACTCTTTTTCTACATAAAACTATTATGTAAATGAAAGAGCACACGATAGAAAGGAAAAATCCCATTTTTTTTCTCGTTCAACTTAAATTTCTAAGTCCGAAATCGCATACTGAACAATTAGCTTATTCACGATTCACTCTGAAACCTAAAAATTTCACAATACTCCAACCAATATAGTTAAAGCAAGAAGCTTTTTAACAATCCACAGAGACAAAGAGGGACAATAGATTAAAGAAAACGATGAAGAAAGAAACAGACCTCAGATTCCAACAAAACCCAGAACAAAAATGTGGAAAAAAAAAATTTGGACCATTTCTCGATTTGTGCGTGTCATCCTTGCGCAGGGGCCATGCTAATCTTCTCTGTATCGTTCCAATTTTATCGGATGTCCCCGAAGGGACGAAACCAGATGCTCCTGTGTCAGTATATAAACAGGCAAAAGTTTCTTCTGTTGGCGATGTGGTAAGAACCAGGTGGTTATCTGAAAAAGCCCACTTGAGAAAATGAGCCGGCCCTTTTCACTTTGCTGAATGGGTCCATTTCTTCTTGGGTTTTACATATGTGTGCATCTAGATAGCCACTTCGTACAGAGCCCTATTTAAAACATAGCCAAACGTATGCCTTGTATTAAAATTATACGAGGTACAAGTCTACAAATCCCTCAATAAGTCTATAATAGAGCCACGTGTCCACCTACCAAATCAAATGGTTCAGATTGCAAACCTTTTTTCCTGCACTGTCACCTTGATTTTCCAGTCTTTTTTATATATTGTGAAAGCTGTAATTCCAATACCATTACTCACTCTCATCACTCTTTTTCTCCATAAAAATATTATGTAAAGGAAAGAGCACATGATAAGGAAAAAAAAGGGGATGATAATATTTATCATTCCATATATATGTTTTTCCTGTTTTTTTTTCTTCTCTGTTTTTTGCTTTTGAATTTTATAACAGACCTTTTCCTTCCAGAAAATAGTTTTGCTTCTTTAAGGATCTGTTTTTTTAGCTTTATGTGCATGTTAATAAAGTAAATATTATCATTAAGTTTTATACCTATAAATTATCATGTCATGAGAACTTAACATAATAGTATGTTGTAATACAATTATTATTATTATTTTCCTTTTCTTCACCTCATTCTTTCTTTTCTAGGTCTCCAATTTTCATAAGTAATACTTCTTATGTTCAATTTTATCATTTTATAAACCATGTCATGACATAATGTTTAATACCATAGTTTTAAAAATCTTTTTTTTTTTTTAAATTTTTTATTCCCAATTAAATACAACACGGATAGAGTAAGACTAGGGTTATTAGGGGGTAAAAGACGGAACTGGACGGAACGGGAGAAGGGGGATTGGAACGGGATGGAACAGAGGAAGTGAGGGACTAGGACATGTCGGATTATCTGGGGGACAAGGGGGATAGGATGAGTGTCCCGGCCCGGCCCATATCGATCCCCGCACCTACCTCTATCCCATTCTCTCCTGCCAACATGAAATCGAGCCGAACCGATAGCGGGACCCGATCGGGCTGGTTCGAGATCGGGATAGCTCGGTCCACCTGCCAACTTTAAGTAAGACCAATTGAAGGGCAGCTCGACACACTAAGCTTCCGCTATGTGCGGGGTCCGAGGAAAGACCGAACAATAAGAGTCTATTGTACTATTTTTACGGCTCGAAATCATGATATTTAAGTAAGAGTGATTTAAAAAAAAAAAAAAAGAAAAAGAAAAAGGAATCCATCTATCTTTTTCATTGAGAAGGTTTTCATTTTTCTTTTTCCTTCAATTCAAATAGTAATGCAGCAAAAAACACACCAAAACCTCTCTCCCTCCTTTTAACTCACAGTCCACTCTCAGTTAAAACCCTCAAAGCAAAAACCCTCACTCAACAATGGCAGTAATCACCTCTTCTTCTTCTTCTCAACAACTCCAGGTCCATCGTTTCCCTCAAAACAACTACATTGATTCCCTCGGTTTTCTCCCGCAACTCTCCTCTTTTCACCGTCACATCCTCCTCGCCACTTTCAACTCCGACTCCTCTAACTCATCACTCCAACTCCTTAATTTAACACAAAAAACTTCAAATTCAGACTCAAACTCACCAGAAATTACACTTCAGTCCTCACTTACAACACCATCAAGAATCAGCTCATTAAAAACCTCACAAAACCCCAATAAACCCCTAATTGCGGCATCTACATTTTCTGGGGATTTGTTGGTTTATAAAGCTGATTTGGTTAATGGGTCGTTGGATTTTCTCAATTCGGTAAAAGGGTTTCATTCGGGTCGGGTTGCGGGTATTGATGTGAGTGAAAATGGGTCAGAGTTTGTGAGTGTTGGGGAGGATGGGAGGATTAATCTGGTGAGTTTTGTTAATGGGGGGTTGAGTTCTAAGAGAGTTTTTGATGGGAATGGGCTGGTTTCATACGGGGCAGTTAAATGGGCTTCTCCTGTGGAGTTTGTGAGTGGTGGATTGGGATTTGGTCTTCAATGGTGGGATCAACGACGACCCGGTGGACCCGTTTCGCAGTTTAAAGGGAACTGGTAATTGAACTTTTTGTTAATTGTTAATCGTTTCTTGTAATAGGCGATACATACTAGTTGAGAATATGTTTTAGACATTAGCACTTTTATTGTAGGTCTTATGCTTTCTAAGAGTGGTTTAACCTTTCAGAGATTTATACCTTATATACGGAACTTAAGGGCAGCCCGGTGCACAAAGCATCGTGCGTTGGGTTTGGGGAAAGGTCGCACATAAGGGGGTGGGATATAGGCAGCCCATCCTTATGCAAGAATCAGTGGCTGATTCCACAGCTCAAACCCGTGACTTATAGGGCCCGGATACACCTTGACCGTTGCTCCAAGGCTCAATATACAGAACTTCTAATACTTATTATTTGTGGCATAAGATGATTTAAATGGAGTAACGTGGTCAGTGAGGATTCATGTGGCTGATCCTAACTTGTTTAGGACGGAGGCATAGTAGGAATAATTGTTGTTGCTATTTATGTTTTGTAATAGAGCATAATGGAAGAAAAAGATTTATATAGACGATACATGTTAGTTGAGAATATGTTTTAGATGTTAGTACATTTAATGTTGGTTTTATGCATTCTATGAGTGGTTTAACCTTTCAGAGATTTATGCATTTAGAAAATATACGGAACTTCTAATCTTTTTTATTTGTATTTGCATAATATTGGCATGAGATGATTTATATGAAGTAACGTGGTAAGTGAGGACTCATAGCCGGCATAAACTTGTTTGGAATTGAGTCGTATTAGTTGTTGTTGCTATTCATGTTTTGTCTATTTTGATCTCTGAGTTCTGTCCAAGTTTTTTGTTGGTGTAGTTAATGTATATCGATGGTGTATATTTTTGGTTCATTTTTGCATTTCTTTGATTGCTTTTGTTAGACTTCTTACTTGAGGAATAATTGATAGTAACAAGTAGCTGAAATTGATGTGAAGACAAGACACTGACTTCTTACAATGGCACCTCTGCTGTAACCTATAGGTCTAAATCTTAGTTAAGGTAAATAAGTGTGAGCCTGTCTGGAATATAGAAGTTGAGCCAGTATATACTTCACAGATGATATGTGTCAGCATACTAGTTTTTCCTGTGCTATTGTGTTGGAATTGACCCATCGAAAGGAAAAAAATCAAGGAGGAGAAAAATGTAATCTTGGAACCTTTCTCATAGCATGAACTTGCAGTTAGGGCTCGTCTCGTACCGTAAAATGTCAAAATTAGAAAGTGACATGTTTATTCTCATCCTGCAATCCGAATTGAGGACGGGTTTTGGGGTGGACAAGTTGATTAGGCCGAATAATTCCATATGTCCCTTAGTTATAGCATGAAGACTTTTTTTTTTGTGATTCTATAGTCTACATCCTTTAACTGGCCAAGAGTGTTGTTCTGTATTGTTGTAAGTCCTTTTTCTGAAAGTTTATTTACATTGCAGGACTCATGGATCAACTTCTGGCATTGTACATTCAATTGATATTCATCCATCAAGAAAGCATACTTGTCTTGTAAGCTGATATTCCTGCCTTACCTTGAACTCTTGATCGACAACGCTTGTCACCTCTCGTTCCTCAACCTTTTTTTTCCTTTTTGATAACGGTGCTATTTGAGTCAACTTGTGTGCACCTGGTCTAGTCCACCAGGTAACTGTTACCGGCGGAGGTACCAGGAAATCTACTCTTCAAGATTTAGGCAAATGGGAAAAATTTACCTCGATTGCCTTTCCTGTGGCCGAGGTCGTCATCTCAGCTCTTTGACCACTAAGGTCACCCCTCATTCACTACCTTAACAAGCTAGTAGGAGGTGAACTTATGGCTAGAGTTGAACAGAAGTATGAGAAGTGATAATTTAGAGAAGAAAGCTTGTGAGTTGTGACTACCTTGGCTTTCAGTTGCTGATAAAAATGAAACATTGTGCCACTTCAATGTGGTTAAAACATGTAAAGATATTATCAATTACCATTTCTAGAGGAGTGAGGGAATCATTAGTTGCATCGGTGACAAGGAGTTCAGTGCCGTTTGACGTCATAACTAGACTAGAATAATTTCACATCGAGAAACTACAGCTAAATAGCATAACTATACAAATGTCTCAAATGAATATGTTATTTTATTTAACCCATGATAGATCTGAGGGCCTGCCCTTGGAAAACTTCTTAAATTAAAGTTCTTTTCCAAGAAATCAACAGAAGTCCAAAATTCAAAGGACCAATTAAATGAAGTTTCATTTCTTTCTTCTTATATTTCTTCATCTTTTTTGGAGGTTGGGAAGGTATAGTGGGGAGGGGAGTGAATGAAGTTGCAACCAGAGAGTGGCCTGGAAAATTTTAGAAGCAAAAGAACCATGTAACTAGTAATAAGGTCATTTTCTGCGTTATGACTGAGAATGCCTGGATGTTTTCTTGTTCGGCTTGCAAGGTTGTTTCAAGTTTCACGTCTCTAATTCTATTTTGTTTGAAGGCAGGAGGTTCTTCTGGTACTGTGTTTGCATGGGATCTTCGCTGGCAACAGCAGCCTATAATACTTGCTGGCGTGGGAACCAGTGATCTTTCTGCTCTTTCACCATCGGAAAGTGATGTTTGGGAGGTCCACTATGACAACTATACTACTTCATCCAACTACCGCAACATCTCAGAATCACGTGTTCTTCCTGCCATGATTTGCTCAGAAGATGGCATTCTTGCCGTAATTGAACAAGGTATAGTGCGTTCAGACTTCTTCTGCATGTTATTTCGTATGTATTATTTCTGATGGTCTGAGACTGATCTGGTTCTTCTTCATTTGCACAGGTGAAGAACCCGTTGAGCTTCTTGCTGAACCTTGTGCCATCAACAGCTTTGACATTGATCGACAAAACCCATCAGTAAGTGAAACCTTATCTGACAACTTTGATGTGCTAATGTTCTTTAAGAGAATCATTTCGTCTCTGTGTTTTAGTTGACATTTCATTTTCTTAGCAACCTGTTAATGTTATGCATACATTTATAACATCAAGAACGCTACGTTGCAGGACATTGTTTGTAGTTTGGAGTGGGAATCGATAGCCATCTTGACAAGGTCTTAACTGCTGCTTATGAAGCTGAGAACTTTGAAAGACTACTGCCTGTGAAGCTGAGAACTTTAGCTATATGGCGACGAGTTATCTTTGTTTTGTTATATGGTTAAGCACTTATTGGAAACAGCCTCTCTACCTGCATTAGGTAGGGGTAAGGTCTGCGTACAGACCACCCTCCCCAGACCCCACATGTTGGGATCAAACTGGGTTTGTTGTTGTTCTTGTTAAGCACTTCAGTGTTGGTCTTCTGTCAATTATGAGAAAGTGTTGCTGTAAAGGAAAAATGCTGGCAAATGGACCCATAAGTCTTGAATTAAGGAAATGAATCGTTTTCTTCTTCTCGTAAGTTTGAAATTAAGAAAATGACCTTTGTCAACCAAGAAGGAGGTTGATTAGCGACCATAATTAAGAAACAATCAAGAAGTAGGTTGAATCTCTATCGACCAAAAAAGAGGTTGATTAGCGACCATAATTGAGAAACAATTAAAGGAGGAGGTTGATTATTGACAATAGAAATAATCGATAAAGAATAAAATAGATAAAATCGATTACTAGTTAAGTTAATCATAACTAATCAAAACAGGGAAAGAAAAAGACCACTTCTTTTTTTATTTATTTTTTATTTTTTATTTTTTAAATCTAGTTAAAGGGTCATCCATCCAATAAAAAATAACTGTAGGTTATTTTACCCAAGTAAAAATTGCATGGAGCGCTCTATTTGATCGTCCCTTTTTAACTTATACCCATTTTGTTTTTTCGTTTGCATTCGTATCCATTTTTTTGTTAAAAGCATTTTAAAAAGATGATTTTGCGCTTTTTTAATAAAAGACTATTGTCAAATCTATAGACTGCAGCACAAAACTTCAGCATGTTTTGATATGAAGTTTTAGCAAATGAACTAATAACTTTAGCATGCATTAGGAAAAATTCATTAGAAAATTACATACTGCAGGACAAAAACTTAAACATGTTTAGACTGAAGTTTTAGCAAATGAACTAAAGAACTTCAGCTTGTTTAGACTGAAGTTTCGGATAAAAATCAGGACAAAACTATAGACTGTGTTATAAAACTTTAGTATGTTTTAGTATGAAATTTTAGCAAATGAACTAAATAACTTTAGCATGCATTAGCAAAAACTCTTTAGAAAATACATACGGCAAGACAAAAAACTTAAGCATGTTTAGTCTAAAGTTCTAGCAAATGAACTAAATAACTTCAGCATGTTTAGTCTGAAGTTTTAGCAAATGAACTAAATAATTTCAGCATGTTTAGACTAAAGTTTTAGCAAATGAACTAAATAATTTCAGCATGTTTAGACTGAAGTTTCGGATAAAACTCATAAAATTGTAGACTGCAGGATAAATAACTTCAGTATAGCTTTAATGTGAAACAACTTCATGCTGTATTAGCATGAAGTTTTAGCTTCAACATGAAACAACTTCATGCTAATTTGAATTTTTAGCTTCAACATGAAACAACTTCATGCAAGTGTGATTTTGAAGATAAATCTGGACAAGTTTCTCATTTTTTGATAAAGCTACTGAGAGGAGAGGAAGAGATCTTTTTTCACGAATGAGGTTGCAGATCACGCGATTAATATATGATGTTAGGGGTGTAATTGTCATATTATTACGGATTTTTTGTCAGCTGGCTACCAAATTAATAATATTTAAAAATAGGTTACAGGTTAAAAGGTGACACAAATATAGGATACTGCTGCAAATTCTCCTTTACCTAATTGAAGACTTAAAGTATGTCTTTTAATCAATTAAGAAGAATTAACTTAAATAGCCAACCACCCAATCATTAAAATAAAAAATAGTCGGTGAATGTATAGCATACATATAATTCATATGTTATGTATAACAATATAAAATCTATGTATGTCGGCTAGGGGAACTAAACAGTAAATCAAATCGGCTATTTGTGTAAATCTTTAATTAATGGACCATACACCGGGCGAACGACACAAATAGCCACTAAAAGCAGTGGCTTTTATTTTAAAGCCATTGTTTTCAATGTATTTAGACTTTAGTCACTCATTTTAAAAACTTATACCTGACTGGACGAAAATACCCTTCTGGTATAACTTATACCTACGCTATCAACACAAGCAGCAGTTACACAAAGAGAAGAAGCGAGCAGCAGCAGCAGTTACCACAGTGGCGATCAACTGAGGACGAACCACCATTTCTCTTCCCGATTTCAAAAATTCAGCATTCTAATCCAAAAAATGACATAGATAAACAGTAAGTTGTAATTTCATGTGTTTCTATCAATTTTTATTTCGCTATAGTTATACTTTTTTAGATCTGTATTGATTTGATTATATACTAGATAAGAATTTGATTTTTTTGAATTTCTGGATTGATAAATTTATAGGCATCGCCTCCTATGATAATTCTGTATTCCGGACATAGTGTCTTCATTTTAGAAATTGAATTCAAAAAAATAAGAACACTATGTCCTTAACTTTGATTCTACTGGCCTCATTTTGCAAATTGAATAAAAAAACTTAAGGATAAAATGTCCTTCACTTTGTTGCTGTTCTTCTGTATACAAAGTCCTGTAGCTTGAGTTTCAAATTGTATGTTCTAATTTCCGGTTCAAATGTTAAGGACTGACAATCCTTAACTTTTAAATATATGTTTAAATGTTAAGGACTAACAATCCTTAACTTTTAATTCCATGTTTAAATGTTAAAGGACAGGCAGTCCTTAGCTTTTAATTTCTGGTTCAAAAGTTAAGGACTGACAGTCCTTAACTTTTAATTCCATGTTTAAATGTTAAAGGACAGGCAGTCCTTAGCTTTTAATTTCTGGTTCAAAAGTTAAGGACTGACAGTCCTTAACTTTTAATTCCATGTTTAAATGTTAAAGGACAGGCAGTCCTTAGCTTTTAATTTCTGGTTCAAAAGTTAAGGACTGGCAGTCCTTAACATTTAAACATGGAATTAAATGTTAAGGACTGACAGTCCTTAACTTTTAATTCCATGTTTAAATGTTAAGGATTGGTGTCACACCTCCTTTTTCGCCCGCGCCGCCACGAAGGGGCGCGGAAGGGAGTTTTTTCCAATTAAAGGACAATCGAAACGAGATTTGTTTATTTAATTCAGAGTCGCCACTTGGGAGATTTATGGTGTCCCAAGTCACCGGTCGAATCCCGAATCGAGGAAAAGATTGACTCTGTTTAACAGTCCGCGAACCAGAAATCCGGATAAGGAATTCTGTTAACCCGGGAGAAGGTGTTAGGCATTCCCGAGTTCCGTGGTTCTAGCACAGTCGCTCAACTGTTATATTCGGCTTATTTATCTGATTTTTAATAATTAAGAACTTATATGCAAATTTTAAATTTGAACCGATTTTATCAATTTTATTATCATTGTTATTATTTTACGGAGAATTGCAACGTTGTGAAAACGTATCTCGAACCACGTCACAGTCAATGTACCCGTGGTTATCGACACATTTTGACTCCGTTGAGATTTGGATTTAGGTCACATAAATGCACACCCGAGTTTAAGAAGGTAAGATTAATTAAGGCGCGTCCTAAAGAGACTATCGTATCGTTATTTTGGGAAGAGGCCGTGAAAATTCACTAGACGGCCAACTCCAAAGTCTATCCGGTTATTGAATCCTTTTATTGAGGGCCCCGCAATTTGTGATTTACTGTGGCGAGGCACGTCTCCTTTATTTTAAGGATATCCTAAAGTGACTACATTTTTATTTAAATTAGTCTCTTAAATAAAGAGAGAAAAAAAAATTCTAATTAATTACGAGCTTAAAAAATAAGAAAACGTAACATACTAATTGCTAGATTAAGAGAAATATTAATGGAAAGGAATTTTACTAAAAAAAAAGAAAAATTCGAAATTGTAAATAAACTACGAAATTCGACAACTAATATTCAAAAGAAATCAATTATAGCTAGATTAAAGCTCGCATTGTTATATAAAAAAAAACTATTGGGATTAATTATTCAAAACCATTTAAAACTAGATTTAACCATAATTACTAAAGCTTATTAGAAAGTTTATTAAACTTAAACGTTGACTCATCTTGCTCAAACTCGCACCTAATGGATTAATGTTCTTAGCCTTGCTACGTTGAATCACACATTAAAAGCATCAAGCCTGCTGATTCTATGACATTATTGGCCTATTATATTTGCCTAATATTTGCGGATCTTCGTTACTAATAAGATTCAAAGATTAAAAAAAAGAAAACCTCAAATTGCTTCTATTCCAATATTTGCAAATTCAAATCTAGATTTTACTAACCTTTCCCCCCCAAATTAAATCGATTTCCCATATTGACTATTTACCAATTTGATTTGAATGTGATTTCAAACTAAAAATTTAACAAAGGCGAAACTAATACTTATGGTGTTCATATCGACACTCATCCAATAGTTCCGCAATTTAACGCTTCACATTATACATATTTCTACCATTCATATAACATGAAACACATAATGAATATCTAACTAAAAAATACGAATATTCTATAATTAGAAGCATAAATCTTCTGGCCATTTCATTTCAGCTTCAATGCATATGTCAAAATGATTCAGAGTAGTGTACCTGGTATTTGAATACAAGGAAAGGAAGAATAGGATCAGCAGCAGTAGGAACAACGCAACAACAACAAACAACCAGTAGCAGTAATGCAATAGTCCAGAAACAGAGTTTGAAAACCGGTGGAGCAGTAACCCAAAAACCAACCAGACTTAGGGAAAAAAAACCAAGCGAGGACCTAGAAATTTCAATAACTCTCAAAGGAAGGACAAAATGAACCCAAAAAAAAAACAGAAGAGGCAATGTGATAATTCTAATTTTCTGTTCTTTAAGACTCGAAGTAGAACACTTTCAAACTACTGACTCTCTATGATTTCTGAAAAAATCAGTCCTTTTCTCTCAATCCTCAACTCTCAAGATTAAAAGTCTGTTTTTATCTCCTCTTTAGTTCTGAAATTTCTATCTCCAAATTCAGTCCCCTTTTAAGTGTCAAATGAGTCCTCTTTTATACCCAAAGCAAGACTCCTCCTTTTCTTTTTACCTATTTCCTTTTTACTTTTTAAACTATTATTACTACCCCTTTTTACCTCTTTTACTCTTCAGCTCAATATTCTTCTACTATGTGTATCTTTTACTTTTATTATTACCTATACTATTTCTGATTTTTAATTAAGTAAAAGCAGTCAACACGGACCCCACGGTTCCCCCCTTTTTCAGTGGTCAAAGAAGACCTCGTTATTAACCCCCCTCCTTTTTACTTTACATCATTAT